ATAATTGGTCCGACTAATCGGATCAAGCTAGGATTGACTAGTCGGCCCAATCCGTTGTTTTGAACACTAAATAAAAGTAAAACCAAAGTACAAGGAGATCAAGCAAAGGAATTAAAACCCTGATTTACATTTGGTTCTGTAAATAGGGATGGCAACAAGCCGGGTTTGGGTTGAACAGCCCTAAGCTAAACCTAGCTTGGCTCTAGTCCCTATAGGCCCTACTCCACCCTACCCTTAGGCTTGAATTGCCCTGCCTTGGCCAGGCTGTGCCATTGCCGAGGGCGCCCCATTTCAGGGCCGACGCCCTATATTTTTCTAGCCAGGCCGGGCTGAGCCGCCAAGCCCTTTGCCACCGTCATTTGTAAATAAAGAATCTTTTTTTATTTCTTTCCTTCCTTTTTCCCTTGTAAATAAAGAATCTTATTGTATACTTTTGTAGCTAAATAGTCTTCTTTGTAAATTCATGTGATTATTAAAGGGGTTAGAAATGGTGGTATTTAAGTTCGGTCAAGCATTTGGGAAAGGCACTATAGCACCTCCACCATTATAGTTTAGTATCGTGCTCTCCAATCCCACAGCTTTGGAAACCTCACTATTTACAACTTTGGAAACCTAACCATTTTAAAAAGAAAAACGGAGAGGTTTGCATAAGGATGCCTCCTTATACCTTCGAAATAAGATGTGCCTATAACTTTCGGTGTTGAAATCCTTATGATGGCTCAAAAATATCTTTTTTTCGTCAGTTATAAAATTTAAAATTTCAAAAATTGTACATATCGAAAAAATAAAATAAACCCTTGAAAATCTTGAAAAATAAACGGTTTAGATAATTTATTACAAGATGCACTATTTGTTAGAAATAATTTGGGTAAAATGAGGGTAGAAAATGATATAATTTGAAAAAATGGATCTCGAACTCGTCTTGTTTTCGGGCACATTGGAGCTCTATCTCAAGATGATATTTACCCCCCTTTATGTACTTGAGCTTGGAACCCACACAATAGACACCAGAGTCTTGATAGTTTAGAGAGAAATAGATAAAATCGAGTAAAGAGAGTTTGCCCACTAGTTTGCTTGCTGGAATTACAGAGAATAGTATATTGAGAGAGGCTAAAAAATTGTTCTAAATGTAAATGTATGGGTAAGAAGGCTTTGTTATAAAGCACCAAGAGACTGCTCATTTAGTGTTGTGGTGATTACATACATCACCCAACAGCTACAAGTTATATGAATTACATGCACCCAACAGTTACAACTTTCATGCACTTGAAGGTTGTTGTTACAAGCCTCCATCTCATCAAGAGGTAAATGACCGTTGGATGTCCTACACACATCAGCGGCTAGATGATTGTTGGATCTCCCTATAAGCCAGACTCATAAAAAGATAACAAGCCACGAGCCCGACTCCCGTGAAGTACAAAGTTCACCAAGAGGCTGTTCATTTAGTATTGTTATGCTTACATCCATCACCCAACAGCTACTAGTTATATGAGTTACATACACCCAACAGCTACAACTTACATGCACTTGAAAGCTATTGTTATAAACCTTCATCTCATCAACAGATATAACCGTTAGATGTCCTATACGCATCAACAGCTAGATGACAGTTGGATCCCCCTATCAGCATGTTGTTATAAACTTCCATCTCAACAGCTAGATGACCTTTGGATGTCCTATATACATCAATGACTGGATGACCATTGGATCCCCTATAAACCATACTCTCGCATCGACAGGTAGATGACCGTTGGATCCCCTATAATCCATGTTCATAAAAAAATAACAACCACCCGCATGAAATGCAAAGTGCACCCTCGTGTGTACACACATACACACACTTTGTACAGTCCGCACATGTACCTTCTCTCTTTATATTTAAAATCATATTGCATGAAAAAACGTGACGTAAGATTCAAACCTACATCTTTGACTCGAACCAACATCTTTCTCTCTCTACGAAACTTTTTATCTCTCTACAAGCGTTTTAGAACGATAAAACCAAAGGGGTTTGGAAATACGCTAAACACGTTTCAAACCAAAAATAGTAATACTATTTCCTGGAATTTGAATTTTTTTCTTGGTGTCCACTCATCTCGATGTCAAGATGATCACGTGCAGGGTTCTCCAATGCCTTTAACACTCTCCAATGTAGGATTTTTTTACATGTCCCTTACTTCGAATAACTTTATATATACTTCCTTAAAAAAACACGTAGAGGCCTGCTTTTCCCACATAATTACCCAAAAAAAAAAAACAATCCCCACTAAATTACCCAATAATAAAAAAAAAAGGTCATCAACTCAGGCATTTTAGCATTTCATTTTAGTAGAGGAAGCATTTGTCATTTTCTCCATTAATTAACTATTTGAAATACTGCAAGCTGCAGATTCCTTGATTTGTGGTTCACGTGCAATCTGCATCCCTTTAAATCTCAGCCGTTAATCCCCATCTTCAGAAAAGTAACTGAAAAGGCTACTCAGGCTTTCACTGCAGCTAAACCAGTGTCAGAACGCAGCACAAGGAACTTCGAGCCAAATCTACGGCAAAGAGGCCTTAGATGACGCCTTCAACGCTAGATCTCGACCGTCCATTCCATACAACTTGTCAAATAACAAAGAGACGAAAGTGTGCTCAAGATAAAAGCAGCAACTTTGTCTGCGAATGCAACTTTGGTGAATAATGACTGAAAAGCCAACACCGACGCCACACAATAATAACTGGGCTTGCACGCAACGGCCGCCCTGATCATCGAGACCTAAGCGTGCTCTCGATCCGGACCACGCGATCCACTTGACACAGATAGTAAACCTAGAAGTATAAAACCCTAAAACGGTTGCCGCCTAACGTGTGAGGCATTTACAAAGAACGGCTATGTCCAAAGCAGAGGAGGGAAACTCGGTTAGTGGAGTCGGCTTCGCATTGGGTTGGAGCCCTAGGTGACCTGCCCCGAATAGGGGTCCTCCTTATGAGGCACACGGTTTCTATGAGTCCATGGTAAAATAAATACCCATTTTTGAGATTTGGGTTTTTTGTTTCAATTGTTGGACATATTGTAAATCTACTTGGAAATGAATGAAAAGTTCGTGTGAATGTTAAAATAATAAAAATAAAAAATAAAAAAGAGAGAGAGTTCCAATTATTTTTAGATGGATCATCTATTTGTAATTTTGTATCCATCTCTATAGTAGATGCCTTATACCTCGAGGATCATAAATACAGAAATGTGATGTTAGTTTCAATTATTTGAAGATGGATCAACTATTTGTATCCATCTTTGTTTTATATAGAAATGTGATCCCCACACCCCATGAAACATTTCTATGAATCCACGTAGAAATGATTCCCCTCTTGCAAGTTCAATTTTGAGGTGGATTTTTTAACTCTATTCTTAATGACATGTAATCTCAAAAGACTATGAATATCAATAAATAAATAAATTTTAAAAATTACAAATTATAATTGTTTTAATTATTTTTAGATGGACCACTTCTTTGCGTTCATTTTTAAGATGGATACTTTATATCCCCTGCTTTATATCACGAGCATTGCAAATGCAGAAACGCAAGCCCCCGTCGCATGAAACAATTTTCTCTCACGATCACAGCTCGTACGAGTATATGTAGAAATAAGTCACTTTTTTAGATTGATTTTTGGACTTAATTATTAGATGAAAAAGTTTATATCGAGCCCAGGCTCTAAACAATCAAATTAAAGCCCACATCAAAAATTTCACTAAAAGAGGTTACTTTGATGCCCAAAATACTCAAATTGATTCCGACATCAAGATGCATAGACATGAGAAAAAAATGAATTTCGAGTTTTAAAAATAGTTCATCTTGCAAGGCATTTTTGGACTCTCAATTTTCAAAATTTTCAAGTTTTCTATTGAAAAGATTTCCGGCATTGAAACCACATTTTTCAATACTATTTGAAAGTGCGCTTTCCATTGATTGTTTAGAGCCTCGACTGTATACAAACTCTCAAATATGGAGATCATAAATAAAAATAAATAAATAAATTACAAAAATTAAAATCAATAATTTTACTAAAAAAACATTAGAATAGTTAGTTTCAATTATTGTTGAGATGTACCACTGTTTTACGTTCATCTTTAATACATTATACCTCACATAAAAAATGCGACTTGGAGGTATAAAACATTTATCTTAAAGATTCATGCAAATAGGTGGTACATCTAAAAATAATTGAAACTAACCGTCCAAATGTTTTCTTAATAGAATCAATATTTTTTTAATTTTCAATTTTTTATTTTTTTTATACCCATGATCTCCATGTTAGAGATTACATGTCCTTAAAAATTAGGTCAAAAAAGAAAAAAAAGGAGCAAGCTGAGAGGCTCCATTGTGAAATATGCAGGGATTCCTTACAAACTTCAATGCAAAAGAGGTTGGAGCGTGAGGGTTTATGAGAACCGACTCCCATCTTTTATTTCACACACTTAAATTTTCTCTCTCTCTCTCTCTCTCTCTCTACTAAGTAGTCTCTCCTCTCCTCCTCCTCCTCCTCTCTACTACAACGTAGACGTAATACTACTACTCTACTCTACGTAACGTACGTACTACCGTCCTACCTTCCTCCTCCTCCTCCTACCT